TAATTCTGATACGTAATTGAAACGTAGACGACTTAACGGACGTTAAGTTATGAATTTAATATTAACACTACGGAATCCTGTTAAGGAATAGCAACGTGCAGCAACGAAGTGAGCAAACGGAACAACCTAATTTTATTTTATACAATTTCAGAGAAGTTTACAAGTTTACTGGAGTTCATAATCCACTTTAGAGAGACGCTTCCGTATAGGTGGCTCAAAGAAGTGAAACTAAATCAAATTGCCCCTAATTACCCTTTCGTCGGAAACAGAAATAGGTCAGTTAACAAAGCGTGCAAAACTGTTCGGAATAGTCGCTCGAAACAAAATTCAAATTCTGAATGCGGCAAACTCTGTAACGTTAGAGTCGAGGTTGCAAAAGGGACGTAATGGACACGGTTTTACAATCTTTCGAGTGTTAAGAAATTAGATTTCGAGCATTGGATACGGGAGGGTTACATAGTTGGATTTGTACAGTTTGAAATTGAAGTTTGGTTATTTGGAAAATTGAGAGGTTTGTTATTTGGGAATTTGGAGGTTTGGGGATTTGGAGATTTGGAGATTTTGGGATTTGGAGATTTGGAAATTTAGAGATTTGGAAGTTTAAAGATGTAGAGATGTGGAGATTTGAAGATTTGGAGATTTGGAGATTTTGGGATTCTGGGATTTTGGGATTTTGGGATTTTGGGATTTTGGGATTTTGGGATTTGGAGATTTAGAGATTTAGAAGTTTGGAGATTTGGAGATTTGGAGATCTGGAGATTTGGAGATTTGGAGATATGGATATTTAGAGATTTAGAGATTTAGAGATTGAAAAATTTGGGGATGTGAATATTTAGAGATTTGAATATTGAGAGGAAATTGAGATTTATAAATTTGCATATTTAAAAATTTACTGATTCAGAGATTTGAAGATAGATAGAATTGGAGAATTACAGATTTGGATATTTAGGAATTTTTTCAATTTAAAAATTTAGAAATTCATAAACATGCCTATACGAAAATATATGGTCAACATAATACATGTTAGTACTTCACAACACACATGACAAATCATTATATTAAAAAATGTCCAACTTTCCACGTACATAAATCACCACATTTAAAACCATGAAAGCTCCAAATTTAAAATCGTCGTAATTCCCTCCCAAAAAAACGTGAAAACAAAGTTGTAAAATTAAAGAGTTAAAAATTTAAAAACCGGTGAAGATTACCCAATTTCCAATGTTACAAATATAAACGAATTCTTGGAACGCAAATTTCGCGGACAATAATTTGGTCGAATGGCGAAGCTCGTACCATTTTGCAGCATATTGCGAATTAGAAGATATGTGTGCAAGAGGTGGCGTGACAAAATTCGACCGGCGTATCCCAGAAATTAAATATCAACGCAAAAACGTGCATACGTGCTCAATTTTCTATCTGAAATATTTCGTGCTGGCGCTTCATTTTGTCGGCGCTTTCTATGTCGGTCGTGGAGAATTTAATTATCCCGTCGCAGTGACATTTGTTTTGTCGACAAACCGTTTCTCACCCGTCAAGGTCTCGGCAGATGCATACAAAAACTAAACTATACAAAGGACGATCAAACGTAAAATTGGATGCAGAGCGTGCTCCTGGCAAACGGGAAATGCTCGTATCCTCCGGAATTCTGCTAAACTACGGAACAGAAATTACTGTTGCATAATTTATCTTTCACCTGAGTACGATATTTAATAATCTACCATCAGTGTCTTTATTTCGTGCATTTTATGCCAATTTCAAATTTATGTGACTTTATTTGGTGTGTGGTTGGTAAATTTTGGGGTTTCGTGGTTTTAGAGGGGAATTATGCATTTGGAAATTTGGGGAATTCGGAGTTTGAGGATTTGGGGGTGCATTTGGAAATTTTCGGGATTTGGGGAATTCGGAGTTTGGGGATTTGGGGAATTTAGAGTTTAGGGATTTAGGGAATTTGGAGTTTCAGGATTTGGGGAATTTAGAGTTTGAGGATTTGGGGAATTTGGAGTTTGGTGATTTGAAGATTTAGAGAATTTGGAGTTTGAGGATTTGAAGAATTTGGAGTTTCAAAATTTGGGGAATTAGGAGTTTAGGGATTTGGTGATTTCAAAATTTGGGGATTTCTGGAATTCAGAATTTGCTTATTTAAAAATTTGGGAATTTAAGATTGGGATCTGGAAAATTGAGAATTTGAGGAGGCCAAAATTTGGAAATGTAGGGAATTTGGGAATTTACTAATGACTTGACAATTGAAGAATTTGGATATTTGAAAACTTGGTACTTCATACAAAAGATCATACAAAAATAACTTAAAAACGTCAAGCAAATGCAAAGGCATCCAAAAAATACTACAATAAAATTGAAGTCCTAGCAACCACCTGCAGAACCATGACAGAAATCCCTCAAGAAAAGATTTCCGAATGTTCTTCAGATTTTCTTATCGGAGAAATAAATCGAAATCTGAAATCCGGGCAATTAGCAGTAAATATTCTTCATTTGGTAAGGGATAATCCTCGCTTAAACGGCAGCCGGTTCGTTCGACTTTATCCGGTAGTTAGTTAAGCTTCAACAAACCAATTACAGTGTCCTGCGAAGGAGAGGTACTGACTATCGTCGGATCAGGGGCCGAGTGAACTGCGCGGTTAGCTTGACATTAAGTGCGGAACAGCTGATCCTTAATGACCAATTCGCGGAATTAGGCGGTGTAATTAATGGCCGTACCAACGAGCCGCTTACGATCCGTAGTTACCGACGCTTTGACACGTGCCTCGCCGTTTGTTCTCTGTGTACACTGATCGCTAACGACAGTCCTCTTCGTTTTCACAAATCAAAGAAACTCGTCTTCCGTGTTTAGGAAAACGTTTGAATTGTTACAAATTAATATTTTAATCTTTTGGATTTGATAGTTCCATCTTTACGAGAATTAAACTTGGGCAACTGTTTAATTACAGATTATTCTGTCATCACCTACGTCAGCGTTAATAAAGCTTAAAAACTTGGTGACGGTAATTAGGATTTAATGAAACTCGTTTCGAATTCCTGATCGTGCTAATAATTTTGTTTAGTGCATCGGCTAACAGGCTATTTAACTTGTCTATCGATACTACCGAATGAGAGGACAGATGTTAATTACATGGTAATCTTGTTTCACCGCCTCTAGCGTTGCAATTACAAGCACACAATTTGCTCAAATATATTTTTAGAACTAAACGAAAAATAAGAGGATTTAACTATTTTTATAATGATAGTATTAATTTTTAAAATACGCGTGAGTGGCGAAATCACAATAACGAATGAATACTTAACACTTTAGTGGTCGCTCACACAACATGTGTGTGATGACCGGGCCAACCGTTAGCGTCCGTTTACACATGTGTGTGATGCTACCGCTAAGAGTTATTGGGCGGTAGCACACTCTCTGTGTGATGAATTATGAATGTAAACAAGTGTAGATATTGTTACAGGCTTCGTATTTCACCGCTACTTTGATCTTAGGTAATTATTGTTTTACTGCCTGTTTTTAATTTTCGATTTTACACTACACTGGTGTACCACGTAAATTATGGAGCAAATGCCGGCGGCTCTACGTTGATGTCGTACACAAAGCTACCGTATTTTACAAATTAAATTGTTTGTATATTATTAAATTTGTTAAATTAAATTAAATTGTTGTTTTTTTATTTATGTGTACGTTCGCACATGTTGAATTATTTCATAAATTCACATCAAGTTCGTTAAAATTAATTCTTCAAAAATGCCGGCCCCTGCCGACATTTGCTAGCCATTAAAAATGAATTTTAATTTGGAGATTTTACGTGTGTAAGCAGTACTTAGTGCATGAAATAAATTTGGTGGAACATCTTAATAATATATCGTGAAGAAGGTAAATTTCCAGCGTAAGACGCGGTTTTAATTGCGCGAAGCTGTTTTATTCATCTGCTTATCTGGCACGCCGGCTTCAGATTTCGGTCTGTCTTAGAAACTGTACATAATTCGCGGCTCGTACGAAAGATTTAATCTCCCAAATGAGATCCGAATGCAGGTGCAGCCACGGCGATGCATTAAATGAGAATATCTTGCGAGGAGCACCTTTTGCCAAGAAAAAATTAGCCCGACCGGACGTGGCTGCACAGAGAAAACGAAGCTACTGCTGATCTAGCAATTAACTCGACTGGCTGCTTGCCAACTATTTATATCGCGCTATTATCATACATTTCGTTCTGAAGCTAGGCACAAACAACCACGGTTATCTTGCTAGTTTAGATACTGGACGAATGTAAATACTTGAACTTGGACCTGCTGTAATAGCTTCAAGATGGTCCTGAAATATTAGGGAGGATGGAGGAAGTACTTTGCTGTTTATTCGTGGAATGCATGTTGCAGCGGGAGGACTTCGGTACAAGTTTCTGGGGATAGGATAGTTTCATGATACTGGTTTAGATACTTTTACGTTTTTTTATATTTGTGGTTTCAAGTCAATTATTTACCCGTGGCAATAGAACTTGTGTTAGGTTAGGTTACGATGTGTTATTACATTCTAGCGAGTTTTTTGTGGTCACTTCTGGTTGTGATATGACTGTAGCAGTAGTCTTTCGTTTGCAATTTAGGGATTTGAGGATATAGGATCTTGAAAATCGAAGAATGCAGAAATTTACGAGACAGTAAGAGATTTGGTAATTTAAAGAGTTAACAGTTAAACAATTTGGAAATTCTTTGCAAACAACTCTTAAGTAAACGTCAGAAAAAGTAGATCTTTATTTAGAACGAAAGATTTGAATGACATTTGTATTACAATTAAAATAATTCATTCTTTTAATCAAACTAGAGGGTATTTGAAACTCTTTTGTCATTGAGGATTTCCACCGATGTATCTGAAAAAGTTTAAATACATCAATTAATTATAATTTTCACATCGGATTTGTTAAAGTTAATAGAACCGAAAATTAATGAAAGTATCATATGCGATGTAATTTGTATAAATCTTCATTGACCAAGTACTCGTTTTACACCGAATCTACCAGTACTTCTATTTTCTTGCATCGTCTAACATTATGTGCAGTATACCTGACATTATGCAAAACAGCATTGTCTGCCGTTTGGTTGTCGAATCCATGAAAGGTGTCATGCGGTCTCCTGAACAGTTGAGGGTCCATAACGAGCCTGACATTTACGGTGCTCTTCCACCACCTGTACCACGGCGACACCTGATCCTGAAAAGAAAAATGACCCGAGAATCCAGAGAAAACTCAGTGCAGTTCTTTTGGCTGTTAAACTCTACAGATAAGTGAAGTTGTCAAGGACAAAAGATACTCCGCGCGATAAATTAGCCTCGAGTGTCGTTGAAGTGCCCCGATCTGGAGCGGATGAAACTGATTTCGACCTGTCACGTGTACGTGATAATTCTTAATTAAATGTGCACTGACCGGATTCCGGTTCGACTACTCGATAGGAATTCAATTTATGCGGGTAGGAACATGATTTCGCTTGAAATTCTTGTGTCGTTCCTATTGAAATATTCCAGCCGTACCTGCACGGATGTTCCTTCCACCCTTTTTGCAATTGTTTCCTCTGATTTATACGTAATTTATTACTGGAAATTCGTTTGTGTTATGCTCTAACCGTCTGCATGAATTACTACCACCATTTTACCCTTTTTGCTTTGCTGTGATTTATGTATGATTTGTTACGGGGAATTCGTTTGTGCTTTTACTTTTGTAGTTGTTTAATCACCTGTTCTGTGACAACATTGTGTCGAGTGACGATATCGTGTCACTCGTGACGCACGCTACAAAGCATTTTCGCTGTAATACACTTCTAATTATAATATGTGTAATCGAGGATGGAGGCAAAATATGCTGAACATTTTAATTTCCATTGGTTGTTTTAACGTTGTAGAAATAATTAGTTAGCTGTGTATAACGGCAATGCTTAGAAAATTGTAGGTTGAGGTGTTCCCTTGCAGTACTTTGAAGTGTCGTGACACACGGGCGCGTCAGCTGTGATCAATTTTACTTGAATTTTTAATATGTTTCAATTTGGAGTAGAATTCCAATTATAATTTGCATAGTCGACGATAGCAAAATATAAAATTGAAATAATATTTTAACTTTTTTTGAATGTTTTAGTGTAGCTGTGATTACTTGTGACTGACGCATTTGACGTACATGAAATAACTCATAGTGCAAGGAGTTAATTCGTACAGACATGATAGTATTCACTCCTATCTGTCAAATTAGGCAAACAAATCACATTCTGATTATTGTGTAATAATAAAGTTATGAATTTCTAAAATACTACAATTCAAAAATTCCAGTATATCAAACTTAAAAATGAAAAAATTGTGTAGTGTCAGATTTCTAAAATTCCAAAATTTCGAAATTTTTAACATTCCTAATTACTCAATTTCTAATATACCAAATTTCAAGATTCTAAAGTTATAAAATTTCATAATACCAATTGTCCAAATTCTATAATACCAACTTGTAAAAATTCTGTTACCCACTTTCAAAAGTTCCACAATAGAAAATGTTGAAAAATTCCCTAGTACCTACTCCCCAAAATCTCACAATAGCAAACTTACAAAAATTTCTATCATCTGTTCCCCGGAATTTCACAGTAGAAAACTTCTAAAAATTCCCTAGTACTTAGTCTCCAAAATTCCACAGTAGTAAACTTCTAAAAATTCCCTAGTACTCACTCCCCAAAATCTCACAATAGCAAACTTTCAAAATTCCCTAGTACCTATTCCGAAAATTTCATAATAGTAAATTCACAAAATTCCCTAGTATCTCATCCCCAAAATTTCACAGTAGCAAGCTTATATAACTCCCTAGTATTTACTCCCTAAAATGTTACAACAGTAAACTTATATAATTCTCTAGTACTTGCTTCCCAAAATTCCACAATAGTAAATTTATAAAATTCCCTAGTACCTACTCTCCAAAATTCCGCAATTGCAAACTTCTAAAAATTCCTTAATTCCAACTTCTCAAAATCCCCTAATACCAACTTCCCAATATCCCCTAATACTAACAACCAAAAATCCCCTAATACCAACAACCAAAAATCCCTTAATACCAACTACCAAAAATCTCCTAACACCATCCTCCAAAACCCCAAAAATTCCCCAGAACGAAATAAACACGTTAATAAAACAAAGTTTTGTTATTCCCGCGTGCAGTTAATTCGAGAATACAAGTTTTTCGATGTCTTATCGTTTGTCAAACGTCGATTCCGAGTCGGTAGCAGGAAATATTGGATGCGAGCCATGTAATGTCAAGTATAAAGCGATAGCGGAAATTCCGCGGCGTGTTTGCTGTATTTTTACAGCCTCCATCAACCGCAGGCTGCTTCAAAAGGATGAAAGGAACTCCTACTGATTCCTGGTGCAACCTACCTCCGTCCTTTTATTTTTTGCAATATCTTGCTGGCCCTTTTTCAGTTTAGCTTTTTTGTCTTTCATATTCCACCCTTACTTTGTTCGCGTTTCTAACACGACCAATTTTACAAGAATTTCTTTCGCGGAAACTTGAAAATGTTGACGGAGCTTGCGAGGATAAAGTTCATGGAACTTCTAATGTTATCTTGTGACATGTTATTTAAGATACTATTCTGAAAATGGTTAATTTATTTATATTTTTAGTCTTGAACGTGGGTTATAAAAATAATTACATTGTTGTTAAAATCATAAAATTAGGAAATCAAGAATATTGTAGTGTTTACGTTCTAAATAGTAAAATTATATTTCTCGTGTATTATATTTATAGAGCACATGTTATATGATATTTAACTTTTACATGAATTCGATTGGATGAATAATTTATATATAAAATATACTTCATGTGTATATGTGCTACATGTGTGTATAATTTTTGTACATTTCTTTATTAATATAGTGAATTGTGGTTTAATGAAATTTGTAATTATTTATGATAATTTCTACAATAAACCTGCAACAAATTTTATGTAATAAATTTGCAGTATAATATTTATTACATGTCTAATAAATTTATAGTGTAATTCAGTAATACTATTTATACTACCATTTGTAATTTCAAAATTCTTCTCACAAAATTAAAAAAATTTCCACAATAAATCTTGCAACAATTTTGTGTTACAAATTTGCAATATAATAATGTTTATTACGTCTATAATGAATTTATGAAAATTTTAAAAATTAATGATACCTTTTGAAATTAATGATAGTACAAATACTAAATCTTCAATCGAACAAATTATAAAATCTATAAATATTGCAAAGCACTTCAATTTGCGAATAAAGAATTGATCGTTTAGTTATAAAACAGAATTGCACTTCAAAAATGAGGAGAGATGAAAGTTTTATAGGCTGATTGACGTTGCTATGAAGCAACATAAAAGGAACTTGTGCCTCTATTAAGCACCTTTCAGATATTCCTCCTACGATGTTCATTTTCTTGTTAAATTTCGTGACGGAGATGTGGCGTAAAAATTCCTAATTTTCTGCACGGTGTATCCTTTGTAATTAAAATCCCTCTGTTCCTACACGTCCTATTCGTTTTGATGTTCAACCTCCCAAAAATGATTGTTCCCTTTTGCACGATCATACCAAATAGTTTCGAGAGCACTTGTACATTCTTGGAAAAAGCGTTCTGGTATTCAAAAGGTCGCCTGTTTTCGAAATATTTTTGGCGCTGTGAAATTCCGATTAAACCTTTGAAGGATCGGGAACAGAAATAACTAGTATTTCGATACTGGGTCACTTTCGACATATCTGTGGATTTTCCAGAAAATTTCTTTGTGCTTTGACAAATTGTCTGGATTTGAGGGAATATTTTTGGCATTTTTTGAAGAGCAAAAATTAAATAAGAAATAGTTGCATTTTCAGTGTCGAAATAGGTAATTTATTAAGGTACCGTTGATAAGTTTGTAATAATTTGTAGTGTGATATCATTTGTAAAATAATAGACAAATTTTTAAATTACTGAATCTGCAGATTACTAAATTTTTATATTTTCAAATTCTCAAGCCCTAAATTTTCAAACAAGGAAATTTTTAAATTTTTAGAATTGCAGATTTCTATATTTTCCAAATTTCTAAATTCTATATTCAAAGTTCCAAAATTGCTAAATTTCAGAATCTTAAAATTCTCAATTTCCCAAATTTTGATATTTTTAAGTTTATGAATCCCCAAATTTTTAAACATCCAAATTGCTAAATTTGTCAAATTTCTGAAATCCCAATTTCCTATATTCCCAAAATTATAAATCCCCAAATCCTATATCGCTAATTCCAGATTACCTGAATTTTAGAATCCCCTAATCCTGAAATTTCCAAATTCTGAAATTTGGAGATTAATACTCGTGTCAATAAACATCCCCAGAATATTGACATAATATAATACGTTTGTCTACGCAATTAATTCTCTATGTAAACTCTCTACTTTCTCTGCAACGAGTATATGAATAGCAGTATAAAATGATATCAATGAGTGTCTGAGGAAACCGCTGAAAGTGAACCATTATAACTCGAAACGGTTTCCGTTAGAAGCTGCAAACCACATTTCGAGGAATCATATAGTTCTCCCATTACCTCACACCACATTCCCGTTTATTTTCTCCTTAATTATCTGCTCATCTTTCGTATCTGAATCACCCCTCTATCTCTCTAGCTCCAGAAACCGCGGAAATGTTAAACCACTATGCACGCTACGTTTCTTTCCGTCAAGCTCAACTTCCTCCCATAGAATTTTAATAAGTTGCCACTTCACCAGGGATATACCCCGTTAATTTATATTCCAAGGTAACAAACCAACTTGGTTGAGAAATAACCGCCAAGAAAAATGCTTATGCACGTGAGAACTTTATTAACCTCTCATTCTTTTTTATTGCTTTCGTGCGCTGCTTTCAGTTGTGTGAAATGGCAAGTTTTGAAAGTTTAGTATAATTTATGTTGTATAAATTATTCTAGTTTTCTACAAGTACTTATAATATTGTTCTATAACGTTTAACATTTGAAAATATTTTCGAATGTTAATTGGATATGTAATATATTATTTGCATTTGTAGTACTTGTAAAATAATTATATTTATATATCATATTTGCATAAATATTGCATAAATAATACTTAAGAAGCAACTGTAATATTTACACATAGTGCTTGTACGAGAATTATAATTTTCATACATGTATTCGTATGAATATTGAAATAAAAATCTTTGTATCAGAAAAT